GCGCGCGCAGGGCCCCCAGCCGCAAGTAGTCGGGCCGGAAGTCGTGTCCCCACTGGGAGACGCAGTGGGCTTCGTCGACGACCAGGTAGGACAGGAGGCCGCGGGACACCAGGGAGTTCAGCGTAGGCTGGAAGGAGGAGGCGGCTGCCATCTCCGGGGTGATGTACAGGAGCTTCACCTGGGGCTTCTCGCTTGCTAAGTCAGCCAGGATGCTCTTCTTTTCCTGGGCAGAAAGCTTGGAGTTCAGAGAGCAGGCTTTGATCTTCAGAGCCAGCAAGTGATCCACTTGATCCTGGAGCAAATACAAAATTAAAATGAAATGAAAAGCAAATGGATATAAAAAAAAGTCTCCATTACCAGGAAAGACTACTAGGGAGAGCCAGGTGAGGCCCCAACTTCCACCTCCAGGCTTAAGTCCCAGGACAACAGACAGGTACAGTCTGGGTATTTAGAAATCCAACTCCAGACGCCTTTATCTTCAACTGCGAGCGTATCTGCCCAGCTCTAGCATCCAACTGCATTTTTGTGTATCCGTTCACTTTTGAGATAGTCTTTCCACTGCTAGGGAACGCCAGACAGGGTGACAGAGTGAGATGAAACAAGCCACCAACGCCTCTCAGGATTTATGCCATCAAGATGCCACAAATGTAAAATTAATGCCACCACTCTACAATAACAGACTGCATTTCATTCCAAAATAGCTAAAGGATGTTAGAAACACAGCTAAGACAGGACAAAACACAGGATCACGCAAATCACCACTGCAACAGGACCAAATCTGGATAAGAATCATGCCATGAAGACTGGGAAGAAAACCTGGCAGCACATCCAGATGCACCCTGGCTGTACAAATTCACCTCCCTAACCCTGCACTGAGCTGTTCACTTGCACTCAACCAGCACATAACATTTCAGAAGATAAGAACAGTCCTGAAAAAATCCATCATTTCACTCAATAAGTGGTTTCAGTGATTGGTTTAATATCCACTGTTTTCTGTTCACAGGGTCAGTTCTCAGCCTCCCCTCTAATAAACTACACAGACTAAGCTCTTAAAGTTTGGCTACACTGAAAAGCGTGATGATCATTTCAGGCACAGCCAGCCCACCTCAGGGCTGGATGAGAAGGTTCACTCCAGCCCTGTTCCCTAAGACTCATTCAGCCCATCTCAACCTATCTGTCACTTTGACACATTCTGCTTCACCTGCAAATCTTACAGTGGTAACTTTTTTAACCTCTATTTCACTGATAAAATATTCCCTGTGCTGGAGCTTAATTAGAAATCCTCTCACTTGGAGCAAATTCAATATTTGCAACACCTTTCTGAGATGTACCAGCAAGCCTGCTTTTAATTATTCAAATGTATCACATTAAAACTGGAGTTAAAAAAACGAACACAAAACAACAAACACAACCACAAACCCCAAAACAGCAGCCTAGAACACCAGGTATCTTGCAGCATTACTCAGATGCTTTACAGAAGTCTAAGCAATGCTAAAGCTGCTCTTACAGAGAGGTGTTTCTCTCAATGGCTAATTAAACAGCAGAAAAGGCAAAATACAGGAGAAAAAAAAAAGGTCTCAGAGATGAAAGTGCTCAAGAAGCAGCTCTGCCAAACCTGCTTCTTCCCATGACAGAAAGACTGACTGCAACAAAAAGACATTTTGATGCGGAACAAATTATGCCTTCAAGCTTCATCATCCCCAGAGTTATTACTTTGTAGGTAAAAGGGCAGTTTTCTTCTAGGAGAAGATCCAGTTTGGTCCATTTGAGGTACTCTGCTGCTTCTGTACAGCAGACTGGAGGTAAAACACAACTGCAGAAAATAGCTATAAATAAAAGGAGCATAACCACCGGGTTATTATTAAAGAAGAAACCCCTCCTTTTAAGGAGCTGCAGAGTATCTTACCAGAGTTACTCTGCCCTGCAGTGCAGCTGCAGTTCTTCACCTATCACCAGTGAGACAGGAAGATGAGAATCCAGAGGCAGGATCTGTCCACAGCAGAGACTGGTGGACAGAGAGCCGAGAGGCAGCTGTGCCTCCAGCGCCTCCCGACCCCCTTTGCTCAGCACTCTGCCCAGCTCACAGGAGACAGTTACCTGGATCAGTGCAATCAGAGGTGAAATGACAATGGTGATGCCCACTGCCAGAACTGCAGGAAGCTGGTAGCACAGGGATTTCCCTGCCCCTGTGGGCATGCATACAAAGACATCCTTCTCGCCTGCAAAGACAACAGAAGAAAGCTCAAGGCTACGGAGTGGCAGTGAGTTCCCAGGGCTCTGTCTGGAGGGGGAGCAGAAAGGCTTCATTTGTGAGAAACAGCGTGTGTGTGTGTGTGCCTGCCATAGGGCATCCCAACAAAGGACACCTCATTTTAGGTTCTAAAAGCATAGCAATACTTTCTGTGCCTGCAGTGGTTTCCTTCAAAGAGTCTCTGATTTCTGCTTTGTAAACGTTTAGAAAGAGCCTTACAAAAGCACAAGAAGACCCAAAGAAACCAAGGTGAGAAGTTAAATTTTCACGTTAATTCTCTTCAAGATAAGCTGCTTTCACTCATCTGACAGATCGCCAGTGACCTAATTACCAACCCCATGACAGTCACTGATCACATCCTCTTAAAGCTTATCCCAGAAAGGCACCTCGTAAGAAGGAGGGGTGGGAGATCCCAGCCCCGGAGCTGGTGTCGTGCCGTTGG